TACGGAAAAATTACGGCATAAATTTTCACGGACGTTTTGAATTTAAACGTGAATTTCTCCGCGAATATCGATGCTATGGTAATGAAACACATATCATCTTGTAGCTAAAAACCAGGGCTTTTGATCTACCTTAGAAACATCTTAGTAGAAAATCGCTCCTTGTCGCCTAAATCTCGGCCGAAGTTAAAAAATCAAATTTTTCAGGCGTATATTTCCGGAGGTCATGTGATATTTCCGTAAATCGACGCCTAATTAAATTTCCTGATGTTTGTATTATACCCTTTTGTACTAGTGCATCATATATAATAATATAGCCTTTTCACAGTTAGGATCAAGCTGTTACTTGCCTAAATGCTACAGATAACTACTAAAATAACTCTATAATCATGCACACAGGTATAATTTGAAGGTATGTAAGTAAGTGGAGTAAAAGTATCTTTATTACAGCTTATTATGCAAACCTTCAAATCTTAGCTTCAAACTTTATGTAGTAACTTTATTCAGGAGACAGAATAGTTTATAAATTTATTTAAAACTTTAGCAATAGAGATATTATTATGGGTAGGATATTTATTCTTATTATCATTTATCATGAAATAAAATTTATTGAAGTATTACAAGATATTTCAAAATTATTACTATTGTTATCAAATTTATTACAAAATGTAGCAACAGAAATATATCACTGCTTTGGCATGTCTTATTCCTATTACTAAACTGTTGCAAAGGAATATTTATTGTTTTTCAAATTATTACAAATTTTCAAGAAAATTATTATTATTTATTATATTTTATGTAAATGTAAGGAAATAAAATGCAAATCTCCAAAGAAAATTATAAAGTCTAAATTTTTCAAAAGGTATCTATCTCTCCCAAAAAGGTTCTCTAGTTATTTTATATCTTTGAGTTGTTTACCTTATTTTCTATTGTCACATCTGAGCATGTTTTCTCCCTTTTTCTAAAGATGACATACAAGGATAAAAGATATTGTCCAAGGATCAAAAAATCTGTCATCCTAGATGGTAGTACACTCATCTAGGTTTCATCTTGCCATTATCCCTCATGATATTCATAATACTCTGAAACTTGCACAATACTCATGTGATATTTGTGCCACATCAGTACCGTATAAATAATAATACTGAGGCAACACAAAAATAGCCGGAGTTACGGGGATGATAGAGAATGATATGTGTCACTATTTGGATGAATTATCCTTGTGTGTCATCCATCATCCAGGATAACTGTTTATTCATCCTGGTACAAAAACGTTTTTATGGATGACAGAGGATGAGAGTAAACAAGGATAAAAATTATAAAATAGCTGCAGTAGGGAAGAAAAGAAAAAGAGATTCCTCCTCTGGCGAAAACTTTTAATCCATAAAATATTTTATCCCAATAAACAATTTCTTAATAATTTTAATAATTACAAATGATTTTGATTTAAATAATTTTAATTTTCTTCTAGTTCATAATAAATAGTTTCTCAAATAATTTTATTAATACAAATAGCTTCGAAATAACATAAATAATTTTTGTAATAAAATTTAATTTCTAATAATAATAATAAATAATTTCGAATAACGATAGAGATAAGACATGCCAATGCAGTGATATATCTCTATTGTTATATTTTTTTTTGTAATAAATCTTTGGCAAGTTACTCCAAAAAAGTCTGTTAAATTTCGGTAGTGTACAAAGCAGATAGTAAAGATACTTTTACTCCACTTGCTCACTGTACCTTCAGATATTACACGTAATTGCATTGTTCGTGAGTGTTAGTAAGCAGGTTTAGATCGACTGATTGCCTGAGCTTACTGTGTATCGGAATATTGCACACAAGAGAAAGTGTGTTAGTAGTACATTGAATTATTGTGTGATTATCCTAAATTTATTGAGACTGATTTGCGTAACTTTCCGCACTGTTCTGCGCAGACCGTGACAATACGCATAGAAACTTTTAAAAATTATACTACTATTATACTAACTTTTTCTTTTCATAGGTTAGAAATTGAAAATTTTTAAGAAACATATATCTACGAAAGGAGGTGACATTTATGTTAATAAAGTTTTATATCTTCTTTTAAATTGAAATTGAATTTTTATTTTTGCTTATTAACACAGATAGTTTCGATTAATTTACTGCATTTCCATTATTTTTCAAAATTATTATGTTGGGTAATATATCAAAGATAACTATTTTTACTTAATCCAAAATCTGAAAATCAAACAAGTGAAATTATCCTGTAGCAAAAAAAAATACAAATCTTAGTTCTTTGCCAGACATTATCTTTTGGGAAACAATTTTTTTTTATTTAAGTACAAGTGTAATGATTAGATTGTAATAATTGTAATAAGTAAAATAATATGGACGTGTTCCATAAATTTCATCATTCTTATAAACTTTCATAAAATCTCTTGGAAGGTAATTCTTAATTACATATCTGATATGTAACATTTATTTATAACTATTCAAATTATTCCTTTAGTTTGTAATAACAATATTATAATAGATAAATATTTTTCCTTCGTCCGGAATTATATATTTATTGGATTAATTAAATATTTTGGAATTTTAGTCTTATATATTATCTTGCACACATTTTATATGATTTTATTTTTATTTTATAGAGTGAGAAAAATCTTTACATTTTTTATTCAATTATTATCCTAGGGATGATTAAAACTTAATGTTTTATTAAATAATGTAATCAAAGATCAAATACATAATACATCAATAAAATAATAATTATCTAATATTTATTTGTTAATACAGCAGAGTACATGGCAGATGGCAAAGTATTTTGCTTTATACATAAAATACGAGTTTCATACTTTTATTTTTTTAAGTAATTTATCGCTTTTCTAGCATTCATCAAAGCCGTCACTGCAAACCAAAAAATTTTTCTATCATTTTTAAATAATTTTCCTACTAAAAGTCCTCCAAATTTGAAAAATTTGATAAAAAATCCATTTAGGAGAGTGCTAATACCCACATCTTCAATGAAATCTCCTATAGCTTCTTGTTTTAAAATTTTTTTTGTGAATTTTCCACCACCATAAATTACTATTCCAATCAAAGGAGAAAATGGCCCACTCGCAATGGATAGTGCTAATCCTGCAAATTCTTTAATAATTAATAAAGTTATGTCGCGAAAAGTATGGTTAAAAAAGATTTTTTCCATTTTAAAGATTTCCATTTTGTTATCTGAAAAACAAGTAATTGAAAAAAAAGGGGTTAATTTCCAAGGTTTAAAATACATTTTTTTTAAATTACTTGGAGCAGAATAGTTTATATGACTCACCTTTTTTTAAAAATCGGTAACAGTAGATAAAAAACCTTTTGGTCACAAAATACTCTATATATAAAAAATGTAGAAGTATTGTTAGCTAAAAAATATGATTAAATTTAACGTTTACATAATTTTCGATTATCAATATTATTTAAATCCTATGATTACATTTAAAGTTTACATAAAAACGCCAAATAAAATAAATTATCGGTACGTACCAAGTGACTTACATTTAGTAATAACGAAAATAATAATTAATAAAAATAGCTTCGTTACACTTTAATAATAATACTTACGTATATTGAAGCTAATACTAATACTGATACTTAACGAAAAAAAAAAAAAATTAAGCAATAATTATTGTTTGTTAGAAAATGATAATATTTATTTAATATAAATGTGATGGTTGATGGTAAAAATAACATACTAATATATATCTATTAATCAAATTAATAAAAAAGTAATGATAAAATATACACTTATAAGTAAAATATTTTTATAAAATATAATTTAACACATACAATCGGTCTAGAAAATTAATAAAATTAAATAATAAAAATAAATGTATGTAATAAAATAATTGACACTTTAAGTAGAAGTAGATTTAATTATTTCTTCAAGTTCTTTTTCAAAATTTCATCATTTTTAGGTTTCGGAAGACTTGAATGATTAAGAAGTCGACTGGTGTAAATTGCTCGTGGATGTGTTTGGTAATTATAAGGTGTTATAGTCGTTGTATTCGCTAGGTGTTTGGTTAATTTTACCGCATTATCGATTTGAGTTGTAATTCATTGTAATTATTTTCCCTATAATCAACATAGCATTTCTTAAAAATTATAAAAATATTTTTAAACGAAAACTTTCCATATTGGACATATGATATTTATATTTATGATACGTCTTGTTTATCCCACGCCGTGGCGTCGTCACCATTTAATAGTATTTAATAGTACAAATACATCAACAAAATTATCATGAGCGACCAATAGTAAATAATGCTATTAACTTTTTTTTTTTTATTTTCCTGTTTTTTCCATGTTTCCTGAACAGGCCAAACCAATTTATTTTACTCAAATTTCAACATTAAAGGATTCAAAAAACGTCCGACCCGGGAGAGCAGGAAAACAGAACAATTGAAAAAAAAGTATGACTAACGACCATGATAGATGAATTATTGAAAAAAAAGAGCAAAGCATGATATCGTCAAGGTCAATCCTTCCTGTTGATACACCACAAACATCATTTATTGATTTCGTCAATTTTATATTAGTATGATGATCCTTTGCCGACTAGGTGTTCAATCCAAATTGGACTGTAGAGAGTAATGTGATATGTACATTTGGAGGCGTTGAGCTTCTATCCAATGAAAGTGCGTAGTATATAAGACAAACGAATGCGTAAGGGTCAAGGCCAATGCCTACCACCAAATATATGGATAGAGGTACATAAATATATTAAAATTTCTACTAAGAAAAATTTAAATGGTTTGGCTTATCAGATCTGATGTTTTTTAATAGAGATTCAGATCATGACAACACGTTATCTAAAATCGAATATGTCAGTATTTCCCTCCCCGATGCAATTAATCCTTTTCGAACCCTGAGATGGCTTTGATTCCTGTAACTCCTCAAAAATAATAGACCTTATCAAGTTCCGTATCTTATTCATTGGACTGGTTTACCGTAAAATGGACTGGAATGAGTATCTGTACTTAGATGTGGATCGACACTTGAATTTAGTATTGTACTTAATGTAATTACTTGATACTCTCAAACTTGATCAGAAATAGTTTTTAAAAGTAAAATTACTATTTTTCTCAAATTTGATATCAATTTCTATGGTTAAAATTTTATTTCTATATATAGTAAATAAAGTTTTGGTGCAAAATTATATGCAGATCCTCAATTTTTCAATTGCAAATTTTTATATGAATTCATCGTTTTCCAGTAAATTGTTATCTTAATAATGTGTTTTTATAAATTATAATTAATATTATATATATTTCAAAAAAATATTTTATCTCATTTAACGCCACCTCATTCCCATCCCATCAACCTACTTAGTATGATTAAAACCACCTTTAGCAATTTCTTTAACATCCTTAAATCTATGATAATGTATCCATTCTATTGCATTATTCTCATTTAGTTGAGTATCTCGAATAAATTTATCTATTTCCACTTGTCCATTTATAGAATTTATTTTCGAAATGGTTCGAGCTGCGTGGTTTGAGATAAAATTTTCATGATTGCATTCTACGCATCTATCCATTTTATTTTCTTAATTTTGATGAGTGAGGTAATTGAAAAAAAAAAAAAAATGGAAATAAATTTGGGTCAAATTTTTTCGCGATTATTTAATTATATTCTATAAATAATAATACACGTGAACTAATAAGTTAAATGAAGTCAAAATGACATCATATCAGGTATAAAGGAATAATTACTAATAAAGAAATATAACTTTTTTTTTTTCACGTCTAAAAATATTTTACAGGTATTTTTTTTTTTTTGTTTATTTACAGTATTTTTATTCAATATATTAATTTATTCTAAATCTTAAATTCGTACATCAACTAGTAGAATTACCACAATTACAATAAATATTATAATTAATATTATTATGATGATGTCACCTTCAAGTCCCAATATTCCTTTTCCCAAACGTCCACAACAACATCAACATCAACAACAACAACGATCATCATCATCGTCTCCTCAAGATAATTTAAATAATGCAGTAATTTCAACTCCAATATTTCGACCTGATCTTAATATCAGATTAATTTGTCCGGATTGTAAAAATCCCAATCCCAAACTTATTGAAGAATTTGCAAGTGGTGATATGGTTTGTGGAGAATGTGGATTAGTACTTGATGGTAAAATTATTGATACCAGATCTGAATGGCGTACATTTAGTAGTAATGATGAGGGAAATAAAGATCCTTCACGTATCGGGGCAGCCTCGGATCCATTAGATCCATCAGCCTTGGATACATCAATTTCATGGCAAGGAAGTACGAATAATGAATTTTCATCATCACCATCATTAAGTCGAACACATTTTAAAGCCACAGTTAATAAGAGTAACGTAAGTTTGAGATATGTGCTTCAGGAGATTGAATCAATTTGTCATTCAATGGATTTATCCATGGAAATTATTGAGACGACCAAACAATTATATCGAAGATCCAATGAGGAAAAAATTTTAAGGGGAAAGAATAAGGTGGTGATTTATGCTGCATGTATTTATATCGCATGTCGAATAATGAATGTGGGAAGATCGTTAAAAGAGATTATTGCGGTGACCCGAGTATCCAAAGGACATTTAAGTCGAGCGATTAAAATCTTGGTCTCAACATTTGATTTAAATTTGAAACAGATGACATCTGAAGATTTAATGGCCAGATTTTGTAATCGACTTGGGATTTCACCGGAAGTTACGGGTATATCGACAAAGGTTAGTCAAAGGATTGAACAACTTGGATTATTAACCGGTCGAACTCAAAATACTGTAGCGGCAGCCGTAATACTTTTCGTTACCATCATATTAAAATATCCAATTTCAATTGATAATATTTCGAATGTTTCTGGAATGGCTACACCATCTATCAAAGGTGTTTGTCGTATGATTGAAGCGGAAAAAGATAAATTTCAAGATTTATTTCCATGCGCTGCTATTACTAGTAATATGAATGATAATAGTAGTGGTATCAATATTAATGTCGGTGATAAAGAAAAAGAAAAAAATCGACACAAGTTTTAAAAATTATTAAAAGTTATTATATATCTGTAGATCAGATTCATATTGGTTTATTCACGCGCTTCTTTTAATTCTTTTATTACACAATGTAAAAAATGATGCTTGATTTTGTGAATCATTTCCTGCATAATACAAAGATACATATATGTACTGTATGTAATAATATTAATATATGTAAAGATACGGATAATAAATAAATAAAAAAAAAGCAACAAATCAAATAAATACTAATAATCTTTATTTTTAATTTCGAATAAATTGGGAATGTTTATAGTCGGTCTAACTAACCATCCTTTTTTTTTTATTATGAAACGTTCATATGCGCGCGTAACAAACAAATCTACCATTAAAATCTTTTGTACCTACATATAATTATATAATTATGTATAGTGAACAGTGCCAGATTTAAATTCTCGGAACTTTATTAACCTATAAACCCCGAAAAAAAAAAAAAAAAAAGATCGCGTTATGCCGCTTCTTCATATTATTTTGAAAACACAATACTAAATTCATCCATTCAAGATAAATTTAGCCACTTATGATATACTGTGTTTGTGTGTCAATAATATATATTTATATATATATTTGGTAAATGTATTATTAAAAAAAATTCTCATATTTTAAATATTTTAAAAATTTCAAAAAAAAGTAAAATCATTGATCTTTTATCATCTCCTCTCCTTTAATAATAATATTTTGAAAAAATCAAAATAATTATCAAAAAAAAAAAGGAAAAGGAAATAACTAAAAAAAAATGACATCAACACCATCAACAACAAAGATTCTTTCTTCCGAATTTCAAACAAAAAAAAATAATCTCTATAATAATGATTCTTTACTCTCATTATCACCATCATCTCCAACTTTTTCAAATAATACTTTAAATCATCATCATAATAAAATTTCTTATGGTCGTAAACGATTATTGGATCTCTATGATGCTGATGTTGACGATGATTATTACGGTAATAAATTAATGAAATTAATCATAATAATTTCAAGAATTATAACAATTAATATTGATTATAGTGGTAGTGAAAGTAGTGAAAGTAGGGAAAGAAGTGAAAGAGCAATCAATAAAGATCACATGATGAATAATGTAAATAATGTGTCAGGTAGTAGTAGTAGTTATATTTCTTTTGGTCGTCGTCGTTTATTTGATTTTTATGATTACACTGGTTAAAGAAGAAGTAAAAAAGTAGAAATAGAAATGGATTTTCTTTGAATAAATTTCTTTTTTTTTTATAATACCTTTTTTTATAATAATTTCATTCTTACGCGTGATCAGTGTGATTATAGTGAATATTGTGATATTATAGGTATACTTTTCTGACACATAAATTAATTAACATAAATATAATTTAATATTTAATATACATATACATATACATTTTATTGTTTTAATAGTAATATTAATTGATAAAAATATACAAATAAAAAAATATGAACAAAAAAAAATTATATACAAAATAATAATAATAATAAAAATAAATAATAATAAAAATAAATAATAATAAAAATAAAATAATATGAAATAAATAATGTGAAAGAATGAATGAATAGAAAATAAAAATGAAATGATACGTTTTACAATATTATACAACGAACACCACCACGACGACCATCACCACCATTTGCTGCACGATTTCTAGTTCTATTTCTATTATTATTGTTGTTGATGTTGTTGTTATTATTATTATTATTGTTGTTGTTGTTGTTGTTGTTGTTGTTGTTGTTGATATTGTTATTATTACCTCTAATAATAACTCGAATACTAGCTCGTAAAGCAGCTCCTAATCGATTTCGTATACCTCTCCTATTACCACCATTACCTCCTCCTTCATTATCACCTTCAACTACGTTGAGAAAATTATCACCTCTTATTATTAATCGTCTAATAAATCTATTATTCATAATCCAACCATTATTATCATTATCGTTATTATTATTGTTGTTATTATTATTATTATTAGAATTTCCTCCCCTCCTTCTTCTTCTTCCTCTCCTTCCTCTTCCTCTCCTTCTATTATAATTATCATCACTATCATCGTCATCACTATCATCATTTCCTCTTAGATCATCACCGGATTCAGAAAAAGAGGAAGAAGAAGAACCATTATTATTTGTCCAAGACCAATAACCTTTAATTTTTAATTTAATTCCTTGATCCGAAGTTTTTTTTAAAGTTTCTCTAATAGCGGAAATCGAGATATTTCGACAATCAAAAATTTCAAGTTCCATATATTTCGGACGTGAATATGAATCGTCGTCATCGTCATCATCATCATCACCACCTCTCCTAACTTTCGTATCTTTCTTAACTCTCTTGTTATTTTTATTATTCTTTTTATTATTTTTATTCATCTTCTTATTATTCTTATTATTATTATTCTCATTATTCTTAATATTATTAATCTTTTTAACAATATTATTAATATTAACATTATTAAGAATATTATAATTTCTCATCTCTTTTAATAAAATTTCACCTACATTACTTAAAATTTCATCAGTAATTAATTGACAATGATCCGCATCCACATGAAATAATTTGGTACATTGCCTAATTAAAGTGATGATCCCGTCATCGGTAATTAATTCACAATAACTTAAACAAATCCTTTCAAGTTTTGTAAGATGATTGGCGAATGAAATTAATACTTCATCATTAATACATGAACAATCTTCTAAATCTAATGCTTTCAATTCTAAACATTTTGAAGCCAAATAAATAAATCCATAAATTGTAAATCCCAAACAACCGGAAAGTTGTAAATGAGTAAGTGATTTACTACAATAATCAGCTATATCTTGTAATGATTTATCAGTTAATAATTGATTATTAGTTAAATTTAAAGAAGTTAATGGAGGAGGAGAATATATTTGAGATTTAAAAGGGGATAATTGTGATGATGATGACTCAAAATCTATTATTGTCGTCGTCGTCGTCGTTGTTGTTGTTGTTGGATTAAATATTTCTGTAATAATTTCACTACACGCAGAACATGAGGCTATTGATAAATTTCGTAATTCAGGTAATTTACCAATTAAAATCATTAAAGTTTTGTTTGATTCAGACATAATAATACCATTAATTTTTAAACTAATTAATTGTCGACAAGATTTAACCAAGATTTCAATTCCTTGAGAATTAATAGGTTGACACCAATTTAAATTGATTTTCTTTAATTTGTTACATTTTCTAGCTAAGATGTGACAAGTGGTATTAATTATAAATTTTAATCCGGATAGATCTAATTCTTCTAAATTAGGTAAATTCGATAATAAATGATTAAGTGATTTTACATCAAGTGAACGACAACCGGATAAATTTATGGTATGAATATTTGGACAATATTTAGCTAATTCTCGAATAGATATTGGTGTTAATTGAGCGCATCCTCTATTATTATTATTATTATTGATGAGATGTAATATATAAGGAGTAAGTTGAAAGGAGTAAGGTGAAAGGTGGAGGAATGTGAATGAAGATATAATTAATAAATAAAGATAAATTATAATTAATAAATAACGATAAATTATAATTATAATAAATATAATAAATAGTACAATAATAAACTATAAATATAATAAATAATATAATAATAATAATCAAATACCTAAAATTAGCAACTTGTAAAAATCCGCTAGCAACTTTACTTAACCAAAGTAATTGATCAGAAGAAATATGTTGATAAAAAGGAGTTACATCTAAATTTGACCACATGGATCCATCAAATGCCAACATATACCATTCTCGACATACCTAAAAATATATATTAAAATATATTAATATTGGGATAATAATTAATTAATTAAGAAAATTAGAATAAATTAAATAAAAAAAATAAATTAAATAAAAAATAAATTAAATAAAAAAATAAATTAATAAAGAAAAAAATAAATTAATAAAGAAAAAAAAAAATTAAAAAAATAAATAAATAAAATAAAATTACTTGAGATATTTTAATAATTTCGGTAGTTTCTAAATATTTGAAAATTTTTATTTTGATCTCCAAAGAAATTTTATCAAAATGACAAATATTATTATCACTGTAATTATTATTATTATTGTTATTATTGTTATTACTACCGTAATTAAAATCATTACTTTCATCATTAATGTTATTATTGATATTATTATTATTTAATTTTTCTTTTCCTTTTTTCGTCGTCGTCGTTGTCGTCGTCGTCGTCGTAAGTTGTTGTTGCTGTTGTTGTTGTTGTTGTTGTTGATGAGATTTTTTAACATCTTCAAATAAATCTATAGCTGAATCCATCGCTAGATTATCTATTTCTGCAACATCTGTGATTGAATCCATTATTGTAGTTGTTGTTGTAATTGTTGTGGTAATTGTTGTGGTCGTAATAATTGTATTATTATTATTGTCATTATTATTATTATTTATATTACTATTATTATTATTTATATTATTATTGTTATAATTGCTGTTGTTGTTACTGTTACTGTTATTGTTATTGTTGTCATCCACATCCATTATATTATCCATTATGTTAGAAATAATGTTCGAACTCATTATTTACAGTAATAACTAATTATATTACTTTTATATAATACTTTTTATTACCCTTGATTTATTATTATTATTATTATTATTATTATTATTATTATTATTATTACTATTATTATTATAAAGTATTAACAACAAGATTCTGTTATACTAATAGAACGATATAAACTTTTCGTTTGAAAAAAAAAAAAAATAATAATTTTTTTTTTTTTTTGTAATAGTTAATTATCTACTTATCCTACTTATACTTTGTATTTGATTATGTTTTATTACGTTATAATTCAACTTAACTAACTTGACTGAAAAGATAATAATAATGATCAAAGAAAAAGGAATAACAAAATAACAAAAAGGAGAGGGAAGAAAATGAAAGAACAAAAGAATGAAAATGTTTATATAACTTGCCCCGTGTGTTAGTCATATGATTTACCATATAGTCAAAATTGGATCAAAGTAACTGATTGATAACAGATAATATGTTTTTTAATTTGGATTGAAAGGGAGTGTGGACAAAAGTAGTTAAGAGTGGATAAAAGTGGATAAGAGTGAATAGAATAAATAAGATGGATAATAAAAAGAATGGATTTTAATAGAACTTAGCTGGACAAATTTTTTATTTCGATATGATGTGTGATGATTATTGATATGATAATCATTATAATCAAAATATATAGTTTAGTTATCATTTTAAGTAGGTTTTTACCAGTTTTAAACAGGTGTCATAAATATAATAATATAAAAATAAATAATAATATATATAAATCTAAATATATGAATCTTTTTTAATTATTTAATAATGCTTTTTTTTTTTAATGATGATGATACAATTTTAGTTAGTAAATTTTTTGCACTAAAAAAAAAATCACGTTTCTTTTCTTTCTTCTGTAAAGGGAAAATCACAATAATAGAAATAATGTAGGAAATAAACATATTTATTGTTATTATTATTTAATTATTTTCATTATTAAAAGTATGTATTTCATACTATTTGTTATTATTATTTTATTTTTAATATACGTCATGAATTAATCATAATCAACCAAAAAAAAAATAATAAATAAATAAATAAAATAATAAATAAATTAAATAAATCGAAATAATATTTTCCCATCAAACAAACAGGGGGATAATACTTGATTACAGGATTCTACGGCGACGACGAAAAGAAAGCAATATTTACTTTTTGTGCCATCATTAAAAAAATAATTGCTCGTTTGCTTTAAAAATTTATTAGGTTCGTTTTAAAATTCTTTTTTATTATCTAATAAACATGTATATATATAAACTTACATTTTTCCATCAAGTCAAAAATTGTATTTATTTTCTAAATTTTTTTAAAAAAAAATTAATTATTTCTTAAATAATAATTATGATAAACGTCAAATCTTGATGCCATGGAATACTAATTTATTAAAACCCGAAAGCATGATTTTATATATGATTCCTTATTAATGTAAGTGCTGAGAAATAATAATGGATAGTTGTCAATATTATATTGTAGCATATACTTATTACTCTTATATATATATATATATATATATATGCTAATATTTATTACAGATAAAAACTGAAAGTTTTGACGGTACCTTTGGGTCTATTTAGGATTCATTCAAATTTATTCAAAGTTATTTTCTTGAATTTTCCGGCGAGAGACCATATTTAATTACATCAAAATATAACTTGTTATTCAAGTCAAATGTCAAGATTTAATTTTTATTTTATTTTTTTTTTTTAAAAGAAATATAGGCAATAATGTAAATAATGTGTGCTTTTATGCATTCATTATTATGAAATAATAATAATAATAAATTTATGTTCTATGCTTTTTTTAATGCATTAATATTTAAGACGCACACAAAACACGACGGAGTTTGTTTAATTTTCTAAATTTCCAAACGAGAAAATTTGCGTCACGTAAGAAAAAAATATAAATACTGAATTTCGAAATAATTTCATTTTATCATTTATTTTATCTACCACCACCATCTTCACTATCGAATAATTTGAATAATTCTTCGTTTATTTATTTAGTTTATTTTAATTTATAAAAACATATATCTTAAATATTAACACATAGATAATGAATAAAAAACTTAGTTTTCGAAAAATTTTCGGTTCAAATAGAAATAGCAAAAATAATAACAATAATAATAATAATAATAATAATAATAATAATAATAATAATAATAATAATAATAATAATAATAATAATTCCGAAAATACAATAACTTTAAACAACAATAATAATAATAACCGTCAAAAGAAATCAGATAACCGAGGTGTTGACTATTTTGTCGAAAGTACCATTAGTTTATCTCAACCAATATTAGATACTTCAACCACGGTTTCAAAAATTGTTTTGGAATTTGGAACCGATGCCGCTTTACCTTTTGCCAAATTTTTACCATTGATAAATGATTTATCAAAAGTTTATGAAACGATAATTAAATTATATCAAACGGCTGAACATAATAAAAAAATTTGTGGGGTTTTGTTGGATAGGGTTAGTATATATATATATTGTGAATATAAACTATAACTATAGAACTTTAATCCAACTATATAACTATATAACTTTAAACCATACCATACAACTACAACTATAAATTATAAATATATAACTATATGTAAATGTAAACTATAAATATAAATGATAATATTAAATATAAATGCCAATAATATCTTATTTATTTATTTATTTATCTAGGTTGGTGCAGCCGAAGCAGCAGTTAGAAATTTAAAAATTCGTCGAGATGATAATCAAAAATTCTTTACCGAACAAAATTATTTGATTTTAAGAAAATTACTTGGAACTATTCATCGAATTAAAAATTTTACCAATGATATCTCTCAACTTACTGGATTAAGGAAATATTTTCAAGCCAAATCAATTGAACAAACATTTCAAGAATTAACGAATGATTTTGATTCTTATATGAGAATCTTGAATTTTTCGATGATTATTAAAAATCAATTTCAAACCGAAAAAGATAAACAAGTTTTAAAAGAGGATGTTGATGCTTTAACGAAGGTAACTTTCTATATTTTTTTTTTTATTAGTTATTTTTATTTATTTATTTATTTATATTTATTTATTAAATATTTATATTATATTTCTATCCATTATTTATTTATTTATTTAAATTTTTTTAAACACTACACATAACGATTAGTATCTCAATGAAATTGAAGGAGGTATTACAGATACGAATAAAACAATTAATGTAGCTATTGAAGAGGTGGCTGCGTTGAAACATAATTTCGAAAAGAGTAATTCTGATCATATATCTTCTAAAAGTCGTGAACAATTACAATTAAAAGAACTTATCAATGATGAACCACTTCAAATTGATGATTTTTATCCTCCCGAAAAAAAAATTGGTAAAAAAGTTTATCTAAGAAAACGTAAATGTGATCAACTGAAATTCACTTTTAAAGAAGTTCCAGTAAAAAATTTACCTCAAAATATGAAAAATAATATAAATGTTCAAGTCACAATTTTAAAAAGATTAAAGATTCAAATGAAATTATTCGATTTTATGGATTAGCCACTGATAATGAGGTTTTATATTTGGTCACCGAATGGATGGAAAATGGTTGTTTAAGAGAATATTATAAATCCAATCCAATAGGAATTGATTTAAATCAAAAGATTTGTTTCGCTTTGGATATTTCTAGAGGTCTTAATTATCTTACTTCAGTGAAAATTTTACATCATGATATTAGTTCGGAAAATATTTTTATTTCATTACAAAATCGTGCCAAGATTGCGAATTTTGGTTTGAGTAGAGGATTCACTGATGCCACTAGAAATATTAAAGCCAATATTCAAAATATTAGATATATGTCACCGGAAAAAATGATTGATTCAACGCATGTTTATGATGTTAAATGTGAAGTTTATAGGTAAATTTTTCCTTTTTTTTTTCCTTCAGGTTATCTTTCTGGAGTAGTTTTTAATCTTATTAATTTATTTTTATTGATTTTTTTTTTTTTTAGTTTCGGAATGTTACTTTGGGAAATTGCGGAATTAAAAGTTCCCTTTGAAAATGAAACGGATATTAGTCACATTCGTAATTTGGTGGTTAAAAGAAATTATCGCGAAAAATTCACTCCAGGTATTGTACCCCAGGCTTGGACAGATTTGGTTTCCAGTAATTCAAATGGTATGTAAATTATTTATATTATTTATTTATTTTTTAATCATTTATTTTTTTAATTATTTATTTTTAATTAATTATTTCTATTTATTCGATTCGATATGTTAGGTGTACTACATCAAGATCCTTTCATGAGACCTTCATTCACAGAGATATTTTTAATAATTAAACAAATTCTTAAAGATAATCAAGAAAGAAATACTCCTTCATCATTAAAAGATGATGAAACTATCAAAAATGAAAAAACGAATAAAGGTGATATTAAAAATGAAGATGAAGATGAAGATGATCAATAATTCAAATCGATTTCTCCAAATTTGGGGATTTATCAGTTGAAGAAGCCATCACCGAAACGAAAAAATCAAATGGTGGGGATAAACTTAATGCTTGGAAATGTTTCGAAGTTTATGCGGAATTAGGAGATATTAAAGCGAAATATTGGAAAGGTTACTTTCTTTATTATGACATTTTGAAATGGCCCGAAGAGGAAAAAGAAAAAAATAAAAAAATCGCGGCACAATTATTTAAGGAGGCAGCATCTGATGAAGGGGACATGGCAGAAGCTCAATTAAGATATGGATTTTGTTTATTTAAAGGGGAAGGAGTTCAAAAAGATCAAGTTCAAGCTGCAAAATATTTCATGAGATCCGCTAACAATGGGAATCCTACCGCTATGTATAATATTGGGAATATCTATTATCATGGATATGGAATTCCGAAAAATTTGGAAGAGGGTGAAAGATATTTAAGATTAGCTGCTTATAATCAACAAAAGAAAGCTGTTGAATTATGTAAAAAAAGGGAAAATTATTTTATAATAAATATATGCATTACATTATTAGCATATATCTTTACACAATGAATTGTACATTTTAAAATCATTACGTGTATGCGTAATTTAAATTGATTTTATTATTTCTAAATAAAAAAAAAAAAATTTTTTTTTTTTTAAATATTTTAATGAAATATTGCATTGACTCGACTCGATGCGATTAGAAATATATAATTGTAAATTTTTTTTTAAAAAAAAAAATCAATTTACAAGAGAATCATGACATGATTAGATTAAATTAAAACGAAAAAAATAGAAGTATTGTTATTTTTATCAATATCCTTGCCTTGAAATTAATGAAACTAAAGATGGCGATCACTAATTATTAATGTACGCCACACCATTCGGATCTAATCCACGAATCATTGCAAATTCTTCAATGAGTTTGGGATTGGGATTTTTACAATCCGGAAGGTCGAAATACTGGAGTTGGTGATTATGATACTTGTTGTTGTGGACGTTTAGGAAAAGAAATATAATATTTATTTTATTATGATTGTTGTATTTACTGTATTTATGGCTTCGAAATAATTAATATATTGGATAAAAACTGTAAATAATTAAAATACGTGGGTTATTATTCCTTTATGTATGTTTTGAAATGATAATATGAAGTTATTTGACTGCATTAGTACGTGCATTATTATTTATAGAAAAATTTGACCCAATTTTATTTTCACTTTTTTTTTTTTTTAATTAGATTTTTACCTATCATTATTCCTACACGAAATGGAAAAAAAAAGGTCAAGAATTTATATAATAATGGTACATGGTACATGGAGAAGAATAACCTCCACCCACCCACCCAAAGAATAGCGGGTGTTTATATAATTTCTGAAATTTTTAAAAATAGTAAAAAAAATTATTTTTTTACTATCACTCATGGAAAATAGTAAAATAATTAATTTTTTTTACTATTTTTATCACTTAAAAATAAATATAAGTGATTTTTTATAAAAAAAAAATTAATTTTTAACGAAAATCATTTTTGGTAATCACTATAAAAATAAATTTACTATTGCTAATAGAAAATTAAATATTTTACTATTTCTATAAGCAATAGTAAAAAAATAATTTTTTTTTACTATCACTTATGGAAGATAGTAAAATAATTAATTTTTTTTATTGCTTAAAAATAAATATAAGTGATTTTTTATAAAAAAAAAAAAATTAAATTTTTTTTTTATCACTTAAAAATAAATATAAGCAATTTTTTATTATTAAAAAATTTTTATTTTTTATTTTTATTGAAAATCATTTTTGGCAATCACTATAATAAATAAAAAATAAATAAAAAAAATTGTTTTTTTTATCACTTATAAAAATTAATATAAGTGATTATTTTATTAAAATTATTATTTTATTTATTACAAATTAATATCTTTTTACCACTTAAAAATAAAAAAAATAATTTTTTTTTATAATAACTATTTTAACATATTTAGTATATTCTTTCTCATGTTTACAAGTTAAATTATTTATATATTGATCTTCAATCCTTTTTTCAAAAAAAAAAGAAAAATAAAATGTTGCAATATTTTTTTTTAATTATTTTTTTTTTCAACTTACATAATTATAGTAGTCCATTATTTTAATTAAAAAATATGTAATTTTTTTATTTTTTTAATAAAAATTAATATCATTCACTTTTCTATTTTTATTATTATCACAATTTATTATTATTATTTATTATTATTCTAAAATGCCAGCAAAGTTACATACTATTTGCTATTTACATAACTGTAGTGAGTGAAATACAAATGAATTTATTTTAAAAGAAATAACTGCAATTTCAAGATTAAATGATATGGATCCTGCTGAAATTATTTATTTACAAATAAAAGTTTTTATTCCACTAAATCAAGAATTTGAAAACAATATAGAAGACTTTGAGATTGAGCAAGTAATATTTCTGAAAGGTAAATTCATTGCCCATGAAGGCTGGTATTCAGTAAGTTTCTTTTTTGTCTTGTCTTTTTTCTCTTTGATTATTTCTTATTTTTTTTCTTGTCACTTTCTTTTTTACCTTTCTCATTCTATCTTTCTTACTTATCCTCTTATTCTTTTTTATTCAATTAAAAAATTAAATAATATAATTAATTCTTGATTTTTTATTATTTTAAAGGTTATTGCTACTTCAATTAAAGTACTTCATAAAATGAATTTTGATACAATGCCTGCAATTAGAATCAATGTGGTATTAACTGGAGTTACAACACAAACAGTAAGAAATGAAAATGATTATTCTGTTTTAGATTTTAACATTGATGAGTATTTAGGTAATTTAGAACCAAAAAACTTTTGGTTAGAAGTAAAACATGAAGCCAATAATTGATACCTCATAAATAAAACCAGCTCAATTAATCAAAATTCAAGATTCACAACTGTCATCTTGGTTGAAATAATCAAAAATGTATCTCCAATTAATGATACAGTAACTAATCTGGAAATATCACCTTTCAAGTTTGTTTTAGACTTAGAAGATATTTCTTTAATTTAAAACAAAAACTACAACAATCAAACTAACCAAACTATAAATGTACCTTGGTTAAATCCAAGACAACCAAACTGTGTTGTAAGAGAAGTATCATCTAGAACTACAAGAAGAAGATCAACTAATACTCTTACAACAGCTTTAAATTTCAATCCTCTTCCAAATATAAATGTTTTAAATTTCCAATAAAAACAACCAGAACAGTCAGAACAATCAGAACAATCCAAATCTCCAACAAAAACAACTAGAAAAACCAGAATACAAAATAATTAATATTCTTTAAAAAAAATTTAAATATTTTAAAATAATTTATTTTTATTATTTTGTTTTAAAAAATTCATGTCTTTTTTTTTAAAAAAATAAATAAATCAATTTTCTTTATCTTTTTGAGTAAACAAGATATTTTAAATTTTTTAATAATAAATAGTTTTTCTTTTTTTATTTAATTAATTGAATTTTTAAATAATTAATATTTTTGAAAATAAAGTTTTATATTGTTAGCCTTATTTCTTAATTTTTATATATATTATTTATCAACATTATTATATTAGTTTATTAACTAAATTTCTTTATTTGTATAACATTATATATTAGTACTATTATTTACAAGTAACAGATGTAGATCATTTTTATTGTGATGTGAGGTCAACATAATACCTCTGGTTGCCACCTCTGGTAAACACCTTTAGCACAAATAACTCATTAGCAAAAATAGCTTATAGAACCTTCTGGAATGTTACAGAAATCTCCGGAGCTTTCTTGAGATTAGTAATTATAGTCTCGTGAAAGGATGACAATTTTGTATAAATAGAGGTAGCTTTTACTCTTAAAGTTAGGACAGTTAGAACTTGATTATATTCTGAACTTGATATATGTAATAAATTATTAATAAAAGTCTTTGTGACAAGTAATAAATTGAAACCTTTGATTTCTTAGTGAAATACTTTGATAATAATACCCTGCTTCATAATCTCGGTATTATTTTGTCTATAATTAACCTTGCTTTGTGATCTTGGTTAGTTATAATAATTCTGTGTGAATTCTTGTAATTTCTGTGTGAAACTGATAATATTCTTTGTGAATATTTGTTGACTTGATATAAAAACCCCATACCCCTTTAAAATTCTTATACCTTAGCCTCTTTCGAACAAACCTGTATCATCAAATCCTTTACTCCTTATATCTTTTCAAGTATAAAATCTTCTAACTATAACATATTCATTCAATTGCTTTGTGATCTTTTGGACAATAGTTTCCCTATTATCAGTTGTTAGTTAATCGTGTTTAGTAAAGGTAATCACGGTTAACAATATTAATAATGAAAATTGAAAAATGATTTATTTTATAAAAATAATTTCAAATTTAAAAAAAAATAAATAAATAAAGGACAAGTGCCATATTTTTATTTATTTAAAATATAATTTTTTATTTTTTAGTTATATTTTTTGATTAAAAAATCTATCTAAAATAAATCCTATAATTTACTTTTTTTGATAATGAATATGAAAATTTATTAAATCTATCTGACAATATACAATCAAAAGAATTAAACAATATACAATTAAATCAAGTATCAGATCAAATATCTAATGCACAATTAATTCAAACACCATCAATATAATTATTTCAAATAATTTATATTATATAATCATTGCCAAAATAAGATTTGGTATCAATAACCTTATATTCTATGTGTATTTTGTAGAAGACTTTTATATTTTGATAAGGTTTCTTGGATACTTTATAACACTGGTCAAAAATTGATAAATCATACACACATCAAGTGCCTGATATGTGCATGATATGTCTCTAATATCAGACATATATCAGGTACCCGATAGGTATAGAAAATATTTTATATATATATCGGGTACCTGATATATGTCCAATATTAGGACATATCATACACATATTAGGTACCCAAGGTATGTATAATTTATCAATTTTTGACCAGTGTAAATCATCTATCAATTATCTATTACAACAAAATTTATCAGATGTTTCTTTACCATTTAATCTAAATTATACCTACACGCAAAATTATTTTGAAGTTTCGAAATTACAATTTTGAGAAAAAAAGTTAAAATAGTTTTTCATAAAAGACAAAATTATTTTATTTAAAATCCAAAATTTTTTGACTATTCAGATTTATTCTTTGATTAAAGATACATATAACTGGGTACTTTTTTTACTTCCATATATAGAATAGATTTTGCATAAATTTCAAAAAGTTGAAATATCTCAAAAATTCAAAATCAATTTTGAGAACATGTATAATCCAAATACTAATTAAATTTCTGAATTAAGAATTGCCCCATGTAACTCTTGTAAAAAATCTTCAACTAGATTTATATTTCCACATTTATCTTCCATGTCTATAGAAATTCAAACAGTTCATTTATCAAAAAAATAATATTTATCTCTTATATTTTTACATAGTTCTCTGGAAAGAACTCCATATAGTAATTCTTATTCAAAATATTGAAGTCTAACTGGAACAATAAAATATTTTTATAATATTTATGCACATACTTTATATTCTGAAATAGTAGGAGCTTTCTCAGAACCTAATATAAATAATGATATAACAAATACAAATAATAATACAGATTTAGATGAAACTTTACAAAGAGTTGCAGAATGGTTAATTTAAAGCAATTCTTATTTATAATCATATGCCAACATTTTGTTATTACAAAATCAGAATAATCATTTTTCAAGAACTAGCTATATCAATAATGATATTAATATTTCTCCTATGAATTTACATGATTTTATAATTTCAAATTATAATTTTTTTGATGAAGTTTACAATGAAGATTTTCACTATACACGATAATGACTAGCTTTATTTAACAAAGTGAAACATTATGAATTTTAATTTCAACATGGGATCCTAATCTTGAATCATTACTTTTTTCAGATTTATTCACAAATGAAAAAAGACATTTTCATAATATATTAGATCAACAGTTATCTAATCAAGAAATCTGATATGAAACATATGATAAATATATTAAATTATAATTAATGAATTATGATTCATGGTGAAGACTTCATTACTATTGGCCAACATAGTCATACCTTCAATTGAAAAACTTTGGTATTACCAAAATACTCAACATATATTACAACAATCAATTTCAAATTTAAATCTTTCTTTAAATATTTCAGTAGCTAAAAATTTATTACAACTAAATGCATATATATCAGGAAATTTTTTCTAATGAAAACCTTCGAAAGTTAATGTTAACATAAGTATTTCACTGTTTTTTGATATGTTATCCTTTGAAAGTCTTCGCTAACCTTTGAAGGTTATCGATTTTGATATTTTCATGTGGAAAATTTTGCAAATATTATCGTTTTCGTAGTAAATTCATATTGATAACCTTCGAAGATTATTGATTTTGATATTTTCATGTGTGAAATTTTACAAATATTATCATTTTTGTAGTAAATTCGTATCGATAACCTTCAAAGGTTATCGATTTTGATATCTTCATGTGCGAAATTTTGCAAATATTATCATTTTTGTAGTAATTTCGTATCAATAATCTTCATTTATGTTAGATATTCATAATATATTATTTCAATGGTCATCACTTGTATTTATATCACTGCGATTTTTAATTGACATTGTACTGTCAACGATATCCTTCGAAATTTATCACAGCAATTTTAATCGACATTGAGTTGTCAACGATATCCTTCGAAGTTTATTGCAACAATTTTAATTGACATTGTATTATTAACAATGTCTTTCGAAGTTTATTGCAGCAATTTTAATAGATATTGCACTGTCAACGATATTCTTCGAAGTTTATCGCAGCAATTTTAATCAACATTGCACTGTCAACGATATCCTTCAAAAGTTTATTGTAACAATTTTAATCGATTTTGCACTGTTAAAAATATCCTTCGAAGTTTATCATAGTAAAATTGCATTGTTAATAATATCTTTCAAAATTTATCACAACAATTAAGGTTAGTATTTATGTTCACTGAATATAATTATATTATTGTTATAATTTTATTAGATATTATATTGATCCAAAGTTTATT